CAGGTAAGATCTCACTTAGCAATTTTCAATTATACAAAACACTATTACTAAATACCCTCTTGATGAAAAAAAAAAAAAAAAAAAAGAATCTTCATTTTAACAAAAATGAACAGGGAGACCCTGTTTCAAAAAAACCAAAAAAAAAAAACCTCTTTTTTTTTCTCCAGTGTTCTATTACCCTACCAAGTGATCAACAAACCAAATCTGGTTCAGAACTACTGAAATGGGCCATTTGTATTCTTTTCTGCCCATTTACACTTGACTTCTTGAATGAAGTGTAAGAAACTTGATTTATTGCAATTGGTAACATTGCTGTAAGGACGAGACAAATTGTGCTTAAGTTTCAAGGGTTCTAATTTTCCACTTGTTCCACATAAACAAAAACTGGTTTGTTCATAATGAAACCACATAGGCATGTTTGTGTTCTTTTAACTGTCTCCTGATGCTCACAAATTGCTCTGATAAAGTGGAAGAGCCAGAGCCCAGCAGCACAGAGCATACCCCTATGTGGTATGTTCATTGGACTTCTGACGTGGCAGTGACTGCCCAGACACCAAATGGATCTTTGTAATGTAATCAAATATAACCTAATTTCCTTTCTGTCTTTTGGAAGGAACAGAAATGTAATCAAAATTCACTGTGAGTTATATTTCACTCAAAAACTTTTGGCATTGTGGACATTTGAGAACTAGAGTTAAGTTACAGTCATCTGATGGTAACTCAAAACTTAACTCTTCTATGCTGCTCACCTTTATTAATAGTTAAGAGATCAATCTGTGCAAAATCGCTGCCTCATTTGTGATGGTCGTTAATGGATTTCAAATACTGTGTCCCACCTGAAGTTCAAGATGACCAAAAAAAAATTATACCTTCTTGTTTGTCCAATTAGTCCAAGTATTATTTGAAACATATTGGTTTTCATTCCAGATCACCATTAGCAAAGTTAACTGTGCGATATATACATCACAAAAATGATGGGTTGTTAAATAGAAAATAAAAGAAGAATCAAGCACATCTTTATGCTTGTCTTTATTCTCCTATTAGTTAATATTCATCTTCAGAGAGCAAGACTAATTTTAAAATCCAAATTGAATATATAATTCCTGCCTGAAGCATGAGCTGCCTACGTATCTTGTGATATCATTTCCAGGGACCGTATGACATGTCTGTCAGTAACTTCATCTAAATTCTTCATAATTGGTTTTGCTTATAGTTGTCAAAAAAGGCAGTAAACAAGAACAGGAGAGGAGGAAGAGGTGGGGCACAGTGCTGAGCAGAAGTAAGGCAAGCCTAGCACCAGCCCAGTTTTCTCCTATTAATATCCAGAAGCCTATTGGGTTTCAGACCCCGGATGTAGAATGGGAAGGGAGTAACAAAAGACAAGGAAGTGCAAGCAGACAAAAAGAAAAGAAGATGAGAAAACCTAGAGGGTAAGATTATAGAATCAAAGGGACTAAAAATAAAGT